CATCCCATGAATGAATGAATAAATAAAATTTTGGTGGGTACTGAATCCTTTACCATAGACGACTGATGAAACTAGGGGTCATTAAGATTGCCAAAGCAGAGATGAACAGAGTTTCAATCAATAGGGCTATGGGGAAGAGGCAGGAAAGTGGAGTTGAGAATTATTATAAACACAATCCCATTTAATAGCAGAGAAGACTCAATGGGCCAAATAGCCTATTTCTGCTCCTACATCTTATGATCTTGTGATATATACTTATATTGCGGGCAGTATAACAAGAGTCAATCCTGGAATGAGGAAGCTGGTGAGCTCTTTGGAGTTTAGAAAAATGATTCCAGCTGATGGTAATAATAATCCAGTCACATCTCGGAGTGAATCCAGGCTTGATAGACAATAAATTTTAATTTTTCTTTCACCAGGGTGGTCAGTTCCTGAGCATATTCACAAGACGCAGTCAATGTTCTTTTAATAAAAGAACATAAAAGTTTAATGCACACAAAAGAAAAATGCAAACTGTACAAGGACTGTGTGAAATGGTCTTATTGCAAATTAGAAAGAATGATTCAACCATTTTACCTCCACAACAACCTTTACAGATGCTCAAACCTCAGTGATGGGCTGTCCCAGCCTCTACACTAAAACTCCTTGTTCAGGTATCATTGTTGTAATTGGTTTCTTTTTCAGCCAAGTTCTGCATTCATTTGCTTCTATTTTATCTGATCAATGTCTCTTCTTGGGACCTAAACAATTTGCTAACTTAGCTTACTTACTACTTAACATATGGTCCTTAAATGTGTATCTTCAGCAGTCTTGAAAGACGTCTACCTCTCTGACACTTCAACAGTCTTCTGTTTCTGAAGCTTTTCTCTTGTTGATTTCTCAGCCACCTTGTGACTTCTTTTCAGCCCAGAGTCTACTGTCAATAACAGTACCCCTGTTGATAGAGACCTCTTGTACCTGAATAAACCTGTACAATGACTTCTTTTAAACTGTTCTGATTTTCTGTGTTACTGGATTCCTGTCTTTAGGAGATAGCATTTTTTTAAAACTCACTTTATTTTTCTAATGTACTGAACTGTTCACCTCAAGTGTTTAAGGACTTCATTAGAATGCATGCAAACAAAGCAAATTTCCACATATTCCAGCATCATTCACAGAACTAATCTCAAGAGAATATGAAAACCATGTCTTCCCCTTCTTAAAACAAACATAGAATTATAACTTCAGTTTAGAACACTAACTCTTAGACAATAATATACTATGAACCTTCATTACTGAGGTGATCTCATCAAAACATTCAAAATTCTGATGGGACTTGAAAGGATTGACATTGAGCGGTTGTTTCCACTGACTGGGAAATTTAAACTGTGGGGACACAGTGTTGGGATAAGGGGACAATCATTTCAGACAGAGCAGAGAAGAACTATCAAGGGTTGTGAATCTTTTGAATTCTCTACCCCATCTGGTTGTGAATTGTTCTGTGTTGAACAGATTTAAGGCTGAGGTAATCAGATTTTTGGCCTCCCAGGGATATGGGGAGTGGGTAGGAAAATGAGTTGAAACTGAATATTAGCCAGGATTGTGTCAAGCAGCGTAGAAGTCTCAATGGTCTCTTTTATTCAGTCTGGGCCTGAGCAATGCACTAACTTAGAGCCAGAACAAGAGCTCAATCATAATGATAAGTGAGACTGATGTTTTAATATGGGCAAATGAGGGTAGTGTTGTAGAACAGAGAGACCTAGGGGTTCAGGTACATAATTCTTTGAAGTTTGTGTCACATGTAGACAGGGTGGTTAAGAAGGCATTTAGCATGCTTGGCTTCATTGCTCAGACCTTTGAGTATGGGAGTTGGGACTTCATGTTGTACAGGACATTGGTGGGGCCTGATCTAGGGTACTGTTCTGGTCACCCTGTTATAGGAGGAATATTATTAAGTTAGCAAGGGTTCAAAAAAGACTTGCCAGGATGTTGCCGGGAATGGAGAATTTGAGTTATAAGGAGAGCCTGCATATGCTGGAACTTTTTTAACTGGAGAATAGGATGTTGAAGAGTGACCTTATAGAGGTTTATAAAGTTATGAAGTGTAATGGCAGGTGTCATTTTCCTGTGGTGGGGGATTTCAAGACTGTGGGCATATTTTTAAGGTGAGAGAAGAAAGATTGAAAAAAGACATGAAAGGCAAAGTCTTTACACAGAGAGTGGTTTGTATTTGGAATGAATTTCCAGAAGAAGCGGATGATGCGGGTACAGTTACAATGTTTCAAAGACATTTGGATAGGTTTATGAATAGAAAATGTTTGGAGGAATATGGGCCAAGCACGGGCAGCTGGCTCTAGTTTAGTTTGGGATTATGGTCAGCACAAATTGGTTGGACCCAAGGGTCTGCTTCTGTGCTGCGTGACTATATGACTTAATGACTCTTGGACCAGTCAGCAATGACTTTAAAAAAAAATTGCCATCTCACAATAATCTTGGCAAACGTGCAGACAATGTTGAAATGGCAGAAACAGACTAAAGGAAAGGTCAGTTACAGTGAAGTGTACAGAATGATCTATTACGGATTTATTGTAAACAATGGACCCTGGAGTGAGTCACTGGTGTTAAGTCTTACAGACGTACTGGAAATCTTTGAGGAAGTTCTGAAACAATCAGGGGCTCAAGCATCCAAGCAATGTGGTTTATTTGGATTTTTGATCAGAAGTTTGACAAATTTCCTCAGTTGAGAATATCAGAGAGCTATAAGCCCTGAGGAATAATAATCTGAATGGATTGAGATCTGGTTTAGAATTGGAAATGAGGATGAATGAAAAGCAATCTCCCTAGCTAAAAATAACCAGTGAGATTTTTAGTAGGGCTAACTTGTGGGACAAAAACTACAGCAGCTAAATCCTGTTTATAGCACAAAGCCACAATACTTTTTTTTCTTTTACCAGATGTAGGTATCACTAGCAAGGCCTGCACTTGTATCCTTATAGAATGGTTTACTCGGCCATTTCAGGAAGCATTTAAGACTCAACCACAGGTCTACAGTCTGTCACGACTCACTGGGGTAGTACCATAGAAATCAAGCCCAACTGTTACTGGAGCTGTTGCAGGTGGCTCAGTGGTTAGCACTGCTGCCTCACAGCACCATAGACCCAGGTTCAATTCCACCCTTGGGCGACTGTCTGTGTGGAGTTTCCATATTCTCCCTGTGTCTGTGTGGGTTTCCTCTGGGTGCTCTGGTTTCCTCCCACACTCCAGAGATGTCCAGGCTAGGTGGATTGGCCATGCTAAATTGCCCATAGTGTTCAGGGATGTGTAGATTAGGTGGGTTATAGGGGAATGGGTCTGGGTGGGATGCTCTGAGGGTTGATGTGGACTTGTTGGGCCGAAGAGCCTGTTTCCACACTGTAGGGATTCTATGAAATGTGAAAGTGTTTAGTCAAGGTCCCCAATATACCCAATGACAAAGTCAGGTTAAAAGGAAAATACTTAACAGAGAAGTAACTATTTATTATGAACAATTTGTCTTTAACTAATAGTAACTAGGCGAAACTGAATTGCTGAAGTATAATTCTACAACTTGAACTCTATCCCTTCTTAAATCCCACCCCCTTCACAAACAGACAGACACACACAAATAGTCAATTCATGAATATTATGGCAAAAGAAAAAAGACTGGGGAAACACAGTTTGATAACACCAGTCTGGATGACAGGATTAAATTTATTGCTTTTTTTCTCTTCCTTTTTAGTTCTTTGATGCTGACACAAGGTTGCTAACACATAAATGCTCACTTTCATTCACTGGTTGAGGTTTTGCCCTTTCACTTTGTTTCAAAGAATTTTAATGGAGGACAGCTAGTAGTTACTTGAGACTTCATTATACCTCCCCTTAAGAGCGAAGAGACAGAGAGGTTTTTTGGTCCTTCATTTTTGTAGTCTAGATGGGTGTCTGCTGCACTGGCCCCACACAAGTCATGGACACCTGTTCAAGAGCCTCTCAGTTTGTTGTGGTCAAGCTATTTCCCCTTTGTTCAGAACACTTCAGCTCTATAGTTTCTGCTTCTGCCCTCACTGTTCCAGGAAGATGCAAGATTGTACACAATACAGAATGTGTTTCAGTAGTCCACAATCTAGAAATAATGGAAATAAAACGATGTGGCCTTTACAAGAAACAGGTAGGCCAGACTAGTTAAGGATGGCAGATTTCTTTCTTTAAAGGACACCATCAGACAGACTCTTACAACAATGAATGATCATTGATAAGTTCAAATTGATTATTTGAATGTAGAACTGGGGGAGTGGGGAGAGTGGGTTATTTTAGGATAAACATGAGAATTTTGTTTTCCCTGAGGACTTTGACCCTTTAGACCCCTTTTCCTCAAAAGATTATGGAAGCAGAGCCTTTGCATATTTTGAAGGCAGAGATGCATAGATTCTTGACAAGCAAGGGAGTGAAAGCTACAACTGCATAGGAATCTGGATTAATCAGATCAACTATGATCTAACTAAATGGCGGAGCAGTATTACTAAGTTTAAACGCCACCATCTGCCCGAGTCAGATTTAAACTTGCAGCGCCACCTCCCGCCCCCCACTGTTTTAGCTGGGACTTTCTGGGATCACTGGTCCAGTCACGCTATCAGAAGCCAATGAGTTCCCCGATGCGGGAGTACCCAGCTGGAGAATGTATGGCCTTGGAGAGAGGGCAGGGTTTGAGTGGTCCAAATAGTGGATTGCACCCACCGCAGGGAGGAGTTCCCGGTAATTTGACCAGAGTTTCAACGGGGGAGACCAAAGGAGCACCGAGCGAGACTGCTATTCCCAGCGTCTGGGGAGGCGATGACTCGCCGGGAGGCGAGAGGGGCGTGACGCGGAGGGAATCCCAGTGTCTCAGCGTTCTGAAACTGACGGGGCGGGGCCGGCTCCGTGACGTCACAGGGGGCGGGCCGGTGCTGACGCAGAGGGAATCCCCGTAACACTCAAAAGACTTGCTGTCGCCGCACTTGTTGCAACATTTGTAGCAAGGCATTGCAACTGAGCTCGTCGATTTCTTTCTGTCTCTTCTGCGGCAGTAGGATGGTCGCCCTGGTCTCCGGGATCACGCCGGTCGATTCAACCGGCAGCTCCTGTCTCCTGTGCTCCGTCTGCCATTTTCTGCTCATTAAACCCAAACAGACCGAGTGTGGACACCGATACTGTACCGCCTGCCTGGAGAACCTGTTTAAGTGAGTTAATTGCAAAACTTCTTATTTTTTTTGTATGCGCGAGTTTTTGTTTGTGTTTTGAGTGCCCTGCTCTTCACCAGACCCCCCCCCCCCCCACCCCCCACACACACAATCTCCGCAACCCCCAGATGCCTCGATTTTTAATCTTCACCCAATGTCTCTGAGCTCGAGGAAAGCCGGGCTGTTTTTTGTCAGGAAGATAAGTGACTTGGAAGGGAACGTTCAGGTGGTGGTATCTGGTGCTTTGTCCATCTACAAGCTAGAGGTAGTGGGTTTGTAGGGTGCAGTTGGAGGACCCTTTAAGATCTTTTTAGCACATTGCACTGGTGTGGTGTTCAATGCTTGTCCAGCTAGGAACTACCCAGTGACACTTTATACTACCCAGTCCTGACCTTTTATAGGGATTTTCTGAAGAAGAGTCCCAACCCAAAACATCAACTTTCCTCTGCTGCCTGGTCTGCTGTGTTCCTTCAGCTCCACACTGTGTTGTCCCTTTGTAGGGGTTATCTGGATCTGAGCACAAACACCTATGTTTGTCTTCAGTGGTTTCTTTGGCTACGGCAGTAGGGATATTAGGCGATATCTTCCTTCTAAGATTACGAGAACCTGAGTAGACCACTCAGCCCCTCAAAGCTGTTCCATTCAATAATATCACAGCTAAACAGTGAACTATCCTTGTATATGATGTGGAGATGCTGGTTTTGCTGGACAAAGTCAGGAGTCTCAGGACACCAGTTATAGTCTGACAGGTTTATTTGAAATCACAAGCTTTTGGAGCGTAGCCCCTACCCTATATGTCACAAGTTAACATTATATTTTTTATCTCAGAACAGATAATGAAGCAGACTGCCATGTATGTCAGCAGAAGGTTTTTCGTTCTAAGGTAGGACATATAATTCATTGTAAATGTGCTTCTTAATTGACAGATTTGCTTGGGGGGAGTGTGGAGTATGTTCAGGAGAGTTGGATTTTCACAGAGTGAATGTTCTAAATAGTGCACGTCAGTAGAATTTAACTTGGAAAATCTTTTGTAGTAAGTAACATAACAAAATGAGATATAGGCTGGAATTTAATTGAGGTGTTCAGATTGTTTATGTATAGAACAATGGATAACTGTAAGTGAGTGAGTTTTACAGACTGGAAACTAATCGAATGCTTATGGTTTATAAACAGAATAGTGATTACCTGGAAATAATATACAAACTGGCTTGTTTCTGGGCAGTTATTGTTGTTGCCATCGTACAGTATTATTGATAGTGCTCTGAAATAATTGTTTTGGAAGTACCCTGAATACGATTGCTGGGAATTTCCATTCCCACTGTTGGGAAGTTTTGTCAAACAAAATAGGTGAATTACAAGGAGGAACTAAAACTGACTGGGAGTTCACTGAGAGCTGTCGTAACAGAGTACTTCTGCTGTCTGCCTTATGTGCTTACGGTAACAGTGCGGTGATGTCACTGTTCTACTGATCCAGGCAATAGGAGGCCTCCCCCCACCCCCCAACCCCAACCCTTCCCCACCTACAGCCTGCTGCCACCTGCTAGTGTTCTTACCTCTGGGTCTGCCAAGTTGTACAAATGTCAGACCAGGGGAGTGCCGCACTGTCAGAAGTACCATTGTTCAGCTGTTAAAGTGGTCCTAAACTGCCTTCTCAGGTAGCTTGGAAGATCTATGCAGCTAACACTTTGAAGAAGGCCAGGGAATTCTTTCCTTGTGCCTCGGCCAATTACTCATCCCTCGCGCTGGATCACTAAACAGAATAGTTGGTCAATATCACATTTCTGCCTGTGGGAGCTTGCTGTGTGCAAATTGGGTGCCACATGGTGCTAAATTACTACAGCAACTACACTTCAAAGGTACTTAATAGGCTGTGAAATCCTCTGGGACGTGCGGAGACTGTGTGAGGTGCTGTTGAAGCGCAGGCCCTTTTCTTTTCTTTTGTGTTGTTTAGTCTGACCTTTCTTTTTGTGTTCCTCTGCCGCCCTCGCCCCCACCCCACCCAACAGGTCTACCACGACAGAGCTGCCGAAAATGATGCTTATGCCACAAAGGTTCAATGTACGGCTCACCGGGACGGTTGTGAGTGGACAGGGACACTGCGAAACTACTTGGTAAGGGGCCATGGTGGGCCAAATTAATTCTGGAATTCTGGCGAGAGCCCATGGAGGAGTGGGGATGGGGATTGATGAAACTGATTGGCGCTTGCCAGCCTGTAACCTTGAGTGCCATATAATCTGGAGAGGCTGCAGAGCTGAGCTATATGGGAATCAGAACTTAGGAGCAGGGAGTAGGCCATCTGGTCCCTCGAGCCTGCTCCGCCATTCAATAAGATCCCGGAGTCATGGTGTCGTCTCCACTTACTCTGCCTGCTCCCCATAACCCATAATCTCCTTTTACTGTTCAAAAATCTATCTATCTATCTCTGCCTTAAAAACATTCAACGGGGTAGCCTCAACTAGGTCAGGGAAAACTGGAGCAATTTGCACATAGTATCCACTTGTAGCTGCCATAAGGAATGACTGTATGGAGGAGGAGGGGAAGAGAGAGACTTGGAGCTAACTGTGTCAACTATTATATTCTGACTTGGCTGTAGCTATTTCGAAGTTACAATAAGGACCTGGATTTCAAAGAAGGGGGCAAAATAAATTCCTCTTTCCTTCCCTGATGTCTTCTGGGTGTCCTAACCAATAGCTATCCCTTGGTCGATGTCATTAAAAGGGTAGATTATCAGACCAATGTCTCATCTCGTTGCTGCTTGTGGGATTTTACTGTGTGCAAATTGGTTGCCGAATCAAGATTTGGGGACATTCTAAGCTATAGAAAATTCATGTTTTGTACTTGCTGTGAAATTGACCTGCATGAACGAGTCTCTATTGAACCATCATGTGTCTGTCTACCTCTGTGTTCCCCCAAACCCACCCATGTACCTCTAGCGCACACACCGAGCCCAGTGCGATTTCCATGTGGTCCCCTGTTCCAATGTCACATTTGGCTGCGAGACCCTGGGCCCCAGGAAGAAGATGGCAGCACACGAAACGCAGGAGTGCGAGTGGAGGATGGAGCTCTGCCCCCAGTGTGAGACCTTCTGTGTTCACAAGCTGCTGGAGGTGAGGAGTTTGGAGAGGTGCAGGGTGGGGCAAGCAAGATGGCTCACCATCCCTGGCGTCAGAGCTCAACTGCATTTGTGTAGTGCCTCGGACCGAGTGAAACATTGCGGGAGCATTTATCAGACAGGGCCTGAAGTTGAGCCGCTTAAGCTGTGCCCAGATCTCGGTCAATTTAAAAAGTAAAGCTGGGTTTGACCGTGGGCCTGGAAGGGGGAGGCAGGCTGAGAGAGGAGTGAAAGCTTAGGACCCACCTTCCAGCTGCTGGGTCCTAAAACTCGTGGTGGAATAGTTTAGTTGGGAGAAGCTCAAGGGTTTGACAACAAACCCAGAGGGTTGTGGGACTAGAGGAGGTTGCAGAGCGCCCCTGGAGGGATGTGAAAACAAGATGAGAATTTTAAAATGGACGCACTGCATGATCCAGTGCCACTATAGGGGTAGGCGTGGTGGCATGGTGGTAATGTGACTGGACAAGAGGCCCAGAGCTAATGCTCTGGGAGAGCTGGGTTGAAATCCCTTTAATGAAACTTAAATAACTGAATCGGGGATTGAAAGCTAGTCTCAGTAACAGTGAATGTGAAGTTATCACACTCGCCTGGTTCCCTACGGAAATTGGCCATCCTTGTTGGGCCTACATGTGACTCCTGACCCACAGCAACGCTGTTGGCTGTTAACCACCCTCAAATCTAGGGCAGGTAGGGTTAGACAACACCCCTCGTTGCCCTCAAGCTGAGTGGCACATTTGGCCATTTCAGAGGGCAGTTAAAAGTCAGCCATATTGCCACAGGCCTAGAGTCACATGTAGGACAGACCGGGTAAGCAGGGCAGACATCCCCCCCGTGAAGGACACTGGTGAACCAACTTTCCGGGAATGGTTTTGTGGTCACAATGCTTGTGACTTGCTTTCAATTCCAGTTTCATTGACAGTGAGGTGAGGTGATTGGCAAAAGGGGGAAATGGCAGCGAGTGGTTAGGATCTGGAATGCACCCGGGCAGCTCCATTTGAGGTTTTCCAAAGAGCAACAGACCATTAACTGAAAGGAAGACAGTGCGGGGTTACCAGGAAAAGTTCTATTTGGGGGAAGGGACATTAGAAGTGGCACTAAGTAAACTGCTGTTGCAGAGAGCTAGCTCAGAATGGGATATTTTTAAATGTTCGTTCACGGTCTAAGGGCATCCCTGGATGGACCAACATTTATTGCCTATCCCTAGTTGTCCAGAGGGTAGTCAAGAGCAAACCACGTTGCTGTGTGTCTGGAGTCACATGTAGGCCAGACCAGGTAAGGATGGCAGTTTCCTTTCCTGAAGGACATTAGTGAACCAGATGGGTTTTTTCCCCTCCAATTAACAATGGTTTCATTGTGATCATTAAATCTGTTAATTCCAGATGATTATTTCATTCAAATTCCACCACCATGGCAGGATTTGAACCCGGGTCACCGGAACATTACTTTTAAGATTAATACTCCAGTGATAATACCACTCGGCCATTGCCTCCTCATATGCTGTGAGCACTCTGCGATTATGTTCCTTTGAGGCGCTGTACTGCGGGAGGGATGAGCTCTGTTGTGTGGCAGGTCAGGCAAATTTTGCTCCTAACATTGCTGCAATCCTTTGTTTCTCTCAGGATCATATCACGACGTGTTTCAAACGGAAGCAGTCATGTCCCATGTGCGGCAAGACGGATTTAACAAAGGCCGAGGTAAGATGGCTCCCTCCGTTGTTTTAAATCTCAAGTCCATTGGGAATCGGACAGATGATCTTTTCTATTGCAGAGAGGGCCAGTGTTAGAGGCAGTCAGACTTTAAGGGGTTACGTAGGGATTTCTAAATTCACAGTAAAAAAGAATGAGATGACCTTTCCATTTGAGCCTTGTGCACCCCAGCAGAATCTGGACACAAAACCTATGCAGATAAGAAATGAGCGATAACAAGAGATTCCAGGGAGGTCCTGGAGGCAGAAGGGGTTTAGAGAGAGTGAGGTGACAGGCACTGGTAAGGAATGGGCCAAAACGGTGTCAAACCGTGATAAGACTAAATGACCCTTGACTGGGTGAAGAAGTCATTAACAACGTTAACATGTGCCCTCGAATGGACATCTGTTTCTTGAATTTGGGTAATGAGATGCTTATGTGACCAAAATGGAACACTGAATGTCTCTGAAACAAAGAACAGAATAATTTGCTGGAAAAGCTCAGCAGGTCTGGCAGCATCTGTGGAGAGAAATCAGAATTAATGTTTTGGGTTGAGCGATCTTTCCTCAGAACTCCGTGCTGAGCTGAGCTTTTCCAGCAATTTCTGTTTTTGTTTCGGATTTACAGCATCTGCAGTTCTTTCAGTTTTTATTTACTGAATTTGCCAGAGACTTGCTTCAATTTGATGGGAGCAATGGTGCACCTGCATTTTGCTTGAATAAACAATCGTGAACAAGTGTTCGGTTCTTGCTGGCCAACTAATAGATGGCACCGCAATAGGCAGGATTTTCAGTGCACTTGATGTGTGAAATCCAGTTGTAAAATCAGAGCAGGACTTATAGACTTATTGCTAAGGTCCTAGACAGTGTTGCTGAACAAAGAGACCTTGGAGTGTAGGTTCATAGTTCCTTGAATGTGAGTCACAGGTAGATAGGATAGTGAAGAAGGCTTTTGGTATGCTTGCCTTTATTGGTCAATGCATTGAGTATAGGAGTTGGGAGGTCATATTGCGGCTGTACGGGATATTGGTTAGGCCACTTTTGGAATACTGCGTGCAGGTCTGATCTCCCTGCTATAGGAAGGATGTTGTGAAACTTGAAAGGGTTCAGAAAAGATTTACAAGGATATTGCCAGGATTAGAGGGTTCGAGCTGTAGCGAGAGGCTGAATAGACGGGCTATTTTCCCTGGAGCATTAGAGGTTGAAAGGTGAGCTCATAGAGCTTTATAAAATCATGAGAGGCATGGATAGGGTGAATTGTTGAGGTCTTTTTCCCAGGATAGGGGATCCCAAAACTACAGGCATAGGTTTAAGGTGAGAGGGGAAAGATTTAAAAGGGAACTAACGGGTAAGTTTTTCATGCAGAGAGTGGTGCATGTATGGAATGAGCTGCTAGAGGAAGTGTTGGAGGCTGGTACAATTACAACATTTAAAAGGCATCTGGATGGCACATGATTAGGAAGGGTTTAGAGGGATAAGGGCCAAATGCTGGCAAATGGGAGTAGATTTATTTAGGATATCTGATCGGAATGAACAAGTTGGACTGAATGGTCTGTTTCTGTGCTGTACAATGGAGTCTATAAGACTGAGCAAACCTTGGTGAGATTGCAGTTTGTAAGCAATGAACTCTGGGCCACATTGTCCTCACTCTTTACCTCCTGTTTGGTAGAACACAGAATCAGCTCAACTGTTCATGAGTTTTAAAAAAAAACTCAGCTCAATTATTCCCCATCTCTCTGGCTCGTGCTTTTGCAAAACTACAAACTGTTCCCACTCTGCCTCTATCCTATATTTTCTCTCTTTTTCTCTCTTCTCTAAGTCTGCAAATTAGTGGTTGAAAATAAGGCATCCTTTGTCTACTTTCATGAAGCTTGTTAAGTGGTTTCTAAGTCATAGGGTAGAGAAATTTTAAAGGGGCATGTTCAGTGTTCATTTGCTAATGCTATAGCAAATGTAGCTTTAAATGCCCTCGCCTGTCTCATTCTCTTACTCACTTGGAGTGATACTCCATTGCAGTGCACCCTGAGGGAGTGCTGCACATTGATGGTGCTGTCTGTCAGATGAGGCATTAAAGCTGGGGTTGTGTCTATCTGCTCGGGTGACAGAAAAGATCCTGTGTTGCCACTTTCGAATGAAAGCAGGTGTGATTGTTACCAATCTCCTGGACAACACTGAGCCCTCGATCAATAGCACGAAGTGCAAGCTATCTGGTCGCAATCTGTTTGTGGGAGCTTGTTTTGTGCATCTTTAATGGCTGGGTTTCCTGCATCACAACAGTGATTCTCCTTCAAAAATACCTGATTAGAAGACGGTTTGAAACTTCAGTGGTCATGAGAAGCACCTGACAAATGCAAATCTGTAAAAACCACAAGAACTGTGGATGCTGTAAATTCGGAACAAAAACAAAGTTGCTGGAAAAGCTTAGCGGGTCTGGCAGCATCTAGTGACCCTTCCTCAGAACTGTTCACAGAAATGCAAATCTGTCTTGCTCTCCAGCTGTCTGTGCATCTTTCTTTCCTTCTCTGAGTCTGCACCTCTCTCGTTCTGTCTCTCTCTTTCTTTCTATCTTTTTCGCTCTCGGTGTATTTCCTGTCCAGTCAGGTCTCATTCCCATTGACATGATGAACCTTGTGACGATGCTGTGGCTTTAAGAGGTTATTTTGTCCTGGTTTTCTTTTTGAAGAGAGGTTTTAAGGCAGAACCGGTGAGTTGTTTATTAGAGCCAAGCAGCTTGTGAGGTCTTGGGTACTTTTTTTAAAAAGTTGGAACAGTCTGAATGGGTGTGGTCAAACTCTCTCAGAACCTGGGTCTTCAGTTTAGCTTTCAGCAGTTGCGGTTGGGGTCTTGAAGTGGAAGCTAATTTTTTTCCCCCTCTCTCAGTTACAACCAGATGCTGGGGTTCCCTGCCTGTTACAGGGGTTGCATGTGAGACGATCTGTTTTCTGAATTTGTCTTTTGTCAAGGGTGTGTGTTAATAGGATGTTACTATATTGGAACAGTTAATTAGTAATGGTTACCATGTCTATTATTCTGTTAAGTTTTCCCTTAGTGTTAGGTTATTCCAATTACTTCTTTCTTTTGTTGCATTTTAAATAAAGTGAATGAGTAAAGTGTGTTTTGCTTTAAATCCAGTAGTTTGACCAATCAAATTGCATCTGGGGCACAACACCTTACTTTTTTTAAAAGGAAGAGAAAGTTAGGATCTTAGTCTATCATCTGAATATTTTGAGGGGGTTTGTCTGGTTCATAACAATGTCTTGTGCAGAAAGCAGACTGTTTGTACAATTCTAGTTGTTAACGGTTGTCTCTTTTTTTTTCTCTGCAGTTGGAGGAACACTGTGACCCTCATGACGGCACCTGCCCTGATGCCCAGGTCTCCTGCTCCTTTAAGGACATTGGCTGCCTGGAGAAGGTGAGTTTTCCCTATTGGTTGAAAATCTGTCTGACCTTTGCCCCCTCCAGGAACCTTACTTAGAATCCCCCAATGCCTTACTGCCCATCGTGCTTAGCCTGGCCGTACAGAGAAACGACTCAGTTAGTGCATCTCCTAACTGTTGTTTCGCACAAAGGTCTGCAAACTGCTCCTTTTCCACGGATTTTATTCAATTTCCTTTTTTAAGGTTGAGCTTGAATCTGTTTCCTCCACCCTTTCAAGTAGAGCGTTCTCGATCAGAATATTTAAAGCGAGCTCTCCCCTTCTGGCTCTTTATTTTTGTTCTGCTCTGCACTCTCGGTGCCTACCCATCTACTCCAATAAAATGAATTCAGATTCCAGACTCTCCACGTAATTTTCACTTTGTGGAGGTAGCAGGTCCCAGCAAATGAGTGGGGGGAAAGAGAGAAAAAGAGATAGAGAATGCAAGGGAGGGGTTCAGGTTCCCATCCTCCCACCCTCTGCAATAACTCTCGGCTGGCCTAGTCCAGAGAGGGGTACCTACAGCTGGGAGTGTTGAGTAATCGGACAGACGCTACCACCTCTTCTTCCAGGTAACGACTGTTGGATCACTTTACATCGACCTGAGAGGACAGACAATGTCTGGGTGCAGAGTTTTGTTTTTGTCTGAGAGGTGGCATCTTCGACAGCGCTAACCCTCTGACAGTGCGGCACTCCCTTAAGGATCAAAAACAGAAGTTGGTGAAAAAGCTCAGCAGGTCTGGCAGCATTTGTGAAGAGAAAATCAGAGTTAACGTTTCGGGTCCGGTGGGTCCACTGGACCTGATAAGTTAACTCTGATTTCCCTCCACAAGATGCTGCCAGACCTGCTGAGCTTTTTCACCAACTTCTGTTTTTGTTCCTGATTTAAAGCATCCGCTGTTCTTTTGGTTTTTACTCCCTTAAGGGTGGATTGCATGATGGGGATAGGCAGGCTTAACAAGTGGGTCCTGACCCTGTGTGTGTGTGTGTGTGTGTGGTTGGGGGTGGGGGGGGGGGAGAGAATGTGGGGTGGAGGCTGGTAGTTTGCTGGTTGATGTGCGGATAGCCGCCCTCTTTCCCCATTGCTAACCCGGCTCTGTCTCCTTCCGTCTGGAGCAGCCCCGGAGGCGGGACGCGCAGCCGGCGCACCTCTTACAGATGATGAACCGGAGAGAGAGCCTTCGTGCTGGGAGACCGTCCGAGGTCGGGGGGCCGGCGGCGGCAGCGGCAGGGGCGGTGCAAGCCTCGGAGGAGCTGAGCGCCCTGGAGCGGAAGGCGGACGGCCTGGAGAGCTCGGTGAGCGGCCTGAACCGGGAGCTGGACAAGTACGCCCACCTGCTGGAGGCGCTGCAGCGCCGCTGCCTGCAGTACGAGCAGCTGATCTCGGGGCTGCAGAGGAAGGTGCGGGCGCTAGAGGGTGCCCGAGAGTCACCCGCGAGCACCAATGGAGTTCTACTCTGGAAGATCCGGGACTTTTCCTCGTGCCTGACGGCCGCCAGGGCTGAGCGGGTGACGTCATTCTACTCTCCAGTCTTCTGCACTCACCCCTTTGGGTACCGTCTCTGCTGCAGGGTCTACCCGAACGGAGACGGCAGCGGCCGGGGCAGCCACGTCTCCCTTTTCCTGGCCATCGTGCGCGGCGACTACGACGACGTGCTGCCCTGGCCGTTCCGGCAGAGGGTCACCTTCATGCTGCTGGACCAGGCGCAGCAGAAGCACCACCTCAAGGAGTCCTTCACCCCGGACGTGCTGAGCGGCTCCTTCCAGAAGCCCCGGAGCCACATGAACGTGGCGAGCGGCTGCCCCACCTTCGCCAGGCACGACCTGCTGCAGAAAGCGCACGGCCCCTACCTGAGGGACGACACACTCTACATCAAGGTGGTGGTGGACACGGCGGGGCTGGTGCCCTGAGTTCCTCAATCCCATTTCCAACCCTCACCCACCCAACACACGGGACAGTCCTCTCCACCTCCCTCCCCCGTTGTTTCGCCTCCACTGAGTACCCCTAATGGGTCTCCTTAGCTGAGGAAGGATATTCCTGGCCTGGAGATTGTGCAACAGAAGTTTCCCCGGACTCATTCCTGGCGTGGCAGGAATGAAGAGACTGGATGGGTTAGGACCGTGTTCTCCTGCAGTTTAGAAGAGTGAGTGGGAAATCTCACAGAAACCTATAGGATTCTGACAGGACTAGACAGGGTAAATGCGGTTCCTAGCGATCAAGGGACCCAGAACCTCGGGTCACAGTCTAAAGATACCAGGTAGCTGTTTAGCACTGAGATGAGGAGAAAAATGTCTTTAACCAGAGAGTGGTGAGCCTGTGGACTTCTCTGCTGCAGAAGGCTGTTGAGGCCAAAATGTTGCTTTTTAGAAGGAGTTGGGTGTAGTTCTTGGGGCTAAAGGGATCAAGGGGAGAAAGTCGGAGCAGGATACTGAGTTGGATGATCTGCTGTCATCCTACTGATTGGCAGAGCAAGCTCGAGGGGCCAAAAGGCCTACCTTTCAGAGCTGCATGTAGGCCAGACCAAGTAAGGATGGCTGATTTCCTTCCCTATAAAGCAAACCAGATGGGAATTTTGTTTTTGCTTGATTATCATGACTGTAAATCACTTTCAATTCTAGGATTCTTTAATTAATCAAAATTCAAAGTCCACAAGCTGCCATTTGGACCCTTGTCCTCAGAGTATTGTCTCTCTGTATTTACCAGTTTAGTGACATTGCTGTCTCCTCTCTTGGTTTGGTAATTGGTCATTCTGCCTCTTCCCTGCATTGCACGAGTCCCCTATTCTCATTGTCCCCTCTGCAGCTTTTGCAAGATTGGAACTTGACTGGCAGGGGAGAAGCTGATTCCTGTCCTCACGACACAGACAGAATTCCAACTAGATATCCCTGCCCATTTCCCAATGGAATTCCTTAGGAGAGAACAGGGTAGATTAAAACTCCACTGATGCACCCTGCTTCACTGCCCTGGGCAGGGGGGTTGTGGAAGGGCAATATGCACTAGCTAGCTCGGTGTGGCTCTAGGCAGGCTCCTTATTTACTGCACTTTAGTCATCAGTAAATGCTATTCCTTTTTGTTCTATTTATTTATTTATTTATGTGATTAACTTATCAACAGGTTTTTTTTTTTCCCTCCCCTATTGCATTATTACCAATGTGAACGTTGCTCTGGTTTTGAATAAAAGTTGACTTGACGCATTCTCATTTGTCATGTGTTCATTGGGAGTGGCTGATGGTATTGACAGGTTTAGAATGGGGATTCAGGGAAAATGGGCCCACTGTGCTGCATGGTTAGGAGCCCATTGCAGACTGCTCAGCTGTTTGACTAGCATGGAAAGAGGCTGATCAGCCCATCACATCTATGCTGGTCATCAAACACTTATTTACTGTGGTCTGGTTTTCCAGCACTTGATGTGATTTGATTTATTATTGTCACATATACTCAAGTGCAGTGAAAAGTTTTTTGTTTCGTGTCCAGTACAGGCAGATCATACCATCCAAAATTCAAAAGGGTCGTAGAACAGAGTGAGATATACAATGTTATGGCTGCAGAGAAAGCGCACAAAGAGCAAGATGGTCCATGTGTTTAAGATTTTCTATCTTCTGCCTGATGGAAGAGATTATAACCGTGGTGGGAAGGGTCTTTGATTAAGTTAGAGATAGTAGAAACTGCAGATGCTGGAGAATCTGAGATAACAAGGTGTGGAGCTGGATGAACACAGCAGGCCGAGCAGGAAAGCTGACATTTCGGGCCTAGACCCTTCTTCAGAAAATGAAGATTAGAAATAACGTGGGACAGAACACCAACACTTCACCAGAGACGCACTGGCGATGTTACCTAGCAGGGTGATGAAATGTCTGCATTTGTGTAGCAGGTTGAGGGATGGTCTTACAGAGGCGTATAAAATCATGAGGGGCATAGATAAGGTGAATAGCAAAGGTCTTTTTCCTAGGGTGGGGGAGTTCAAAACTAAGAGGCATATTTTTGAGCCAGGAGAAAGATTTAAAATAGACCTAAGTTTTGTACGTGGAATGAACTGCCAGTGCAAGTGGTAGATGCAGGCACAATTACAACATTTAAAAGACATTTGGACAAGTACATGAATAGGAAAGATTTAGAGGGATACGGGCCAAATGCAGGGAAGTTTAGTTTAGTTTGGGAAATTTGGATGGCATAGACGAGTTGGACTGAAGGGTCTGTTTCCATGCTGTATGACTCTAAATAAATTGATGGTTCCTTCCTTTATCATCTTTACAGTGAATTCCAGATATCCACCACCCTCTGGCTGAGAAGAAATCATCTTTAAATCCTCTATACAGAACCAGCTCTTTACCTGATTGAGGTGCATAGATTTAAGGTATTTGCTACAGAAACAGAAATTGTTAGCGAAACTCAGCAGGTCTGGCAGCAGAGTTAACGTCTGCACTCTAAACGTTTCGCCAACAATTTCTGTTTTTGTTTCAGATCTGGTTACCAGGCCTACTGGATATACATTTGCCAAAAATGCAATGCAGGCAATGATCTGAAAGATCACGTTAACCAACAAAATTTGGTTATGAGCCAAAAATACTTTGAATGAAGAATTGATGGGGTACAACAAAAGGCAAGAGGCCGGGAATAAGAAAGAGCCATAAGATCAGACATGGATTAAGCAGTGTAAGTGAAAACCCTAAGTACGTTTCAAAAGCTGCTCTGGGAGATTTTTTTTTCTCCGGACGAATGGAAGGACCTAAGGATTTAAAACATGTTAAGTGATGTAACGAGGTTGGATGAATACAGCAGGCCCAGCAGCATCAGAGGAACAGGAAAACGGACGTTTCGGGCCTGGACTCTTATCATTAAGACGATGCAACACCATCCTCTGGTGGCGGCTGGGCAGTACTACAGTAATGAGGGGACGGTAGGAATCTCCAATTCACGCGAATCAGTCTGGGGGCTAAAGCCCAATGATGGCACATGAAAAGCCACCTCCAACCTCAACATCAGCAGACGGACGTTGCTTCTTTTACATTATTTCAAAAGTATACTTTATTCATAGAGAATCTTTATATACATACAGTTATTGTTCAATTCTGTACAGTTTTTACATATGTAGAACAAACTAACCAAGGCATTTTTACTTATACAAGACTATATTTACACACATTTGAGACACTGGGAGAGTCTAATAACTGAATGGAACACATTTACCTTCAGCAAAAAGATCTCAGACAGTGGTCTTTCCCTTCTGCCCCTTGGCAGCAGCTGCCCCAAGCTTTAGTGCGTCCCTCAGCACGTCGTCCTGGGCCTTGGAATGTGCCAGTCTGCCACACTCAGCCAGGGTCAACTCCTTGCTCTGAAAGACCAACACATTTCGGGCAGACCAAAGAAGGTCTTTCACCGAGTTGATGGTCCTCCAGGTGCAGTCGATGTTTGTCTCGGTGTGCATCCCTGGGAACAGACCATAGAACACAGAGACCTGCATCACAGGGCTGCTGGGGATGAACTCGACAAAAACAATTGACTCTTTCTCCAGACTTCCTTTGCAAAGGTGCATTCTGGAAAGAGATGTATGACAGTCTCTACCCCACAAGCCCAGCTGCTTTGAGAGCACCGTGCAGGCCTACTGTGCATATTGAAGGATCTCACAGGTAATGCCCTTCTCGACACCAACCAAGTGATGTCTTGGTGTTTGTTGGATAGTTCTGACGATGAGGCATTCTGCCAAATGACTTTGACAGTCTCCTCAGGGAACAACCCGACAGGATCTACCCTCCCCACTACATGCTGACCACGTCCTGATGGACTTGTAGTCATACAGTCATATAGCACGAACACAGACCCTTCAGTCCAACCAGTCCATGTTGAACATGTTCCTAAAATAAACTAGTCCCCCCTACTTGCTCCTGGCCCATATCCCTCCAAACGCTTCCTACTCATGTACTTATCTAATTTTTTTTTTAAAACTCTGTAACCGTGTTTAAACTGTGCCCACATCTATCACTTCCTCAGGAAGTTCATTCCACACGTGAATCACTCTCTGTGTAAAAAATTGCCTCCATGGCTTTTTAAAAATCTCCTCTCACCTTCAAAATATGGCCCCTAATCTTGAAATCCCCCATCCTAGGGAAAAGACACCTACCATTAACCCATACCCCTCATGATTTTATAAACCTCTATAAGGCGTTTGCCAAAGGTTTTAATGTTTTCAGAGGACCTGAGGCTTGGTACAGTAAAAATCACTACAGTCCTATGGAACCATACGGGCTGCTGTCTCATTAGGGAGAGATTGATTGGTGGTGGTTTAACCTGAGAGGGGTCACACCTCAGTTGAGGGGAAGAGTTTGTAAAAAGAAGGTCTTTGCTCAGTTACCCCAGCCAGAATCTGAAGAAGGGTCCCGACCTGAAACGTCAACTTTCCTGCTCCAGTCTGATGCTGCCTGGCCTGCTCCACGCCTGCACCTGTTCCTCCAGCTCCACGCTCTGTTAGCCCAGGATGATAAAGGTATACTGATGGGGTGAGCAGACAAGCGGCTGATGAAGTTTCACACAGAGGTGTGGAGTGACCTAGATTTGTACGTGGGGGGGGCAGGTATAATATCAATCTACTGACTGCTATAACTGGTGGGTACACATATAGGAATCATTGGTGGCAGGGCTGGTCGAGATGGCTGTTTAAAAACAGCAGTTGATTACTTTAATATAACTATTAAAATAATAAATATTAATAGTTTTGTCATTTCCGTAGAGACAGAGAATAGTCTGCAGAGGAACTTAAATCTCTCACTTAATTGAACAAAACATTCACACGAGAACATTGTATAAAATGGTAAAGAAAAAGCATAGGTGTAACACTCAGTCCTCGGTAGCATAGTGGTTAGTATCCCCCCCGTGGTTAGTATCTCACGCGGGAGACCGGGGTTCAATTCCCCGCCGGGGAGAGTAGTAACTTTTTAACCTCTGAAGGGGCAGTGAGAGTGTCTTTATCTCAAACCAGGAGACTCGGGCTCAAGTACGCCCTACTCTAGAGATGTGTATTAACACCTCTGAACAGGGGTTGTTTACAAATATAATTTAATAAACAAAAATAATAGACTCCATTATCTTTTTGATGGGGAAGTTGTACCTTAATCTATCAAGACACCACCACCAACGCCCTTTGGGACTTGCTACTTTTGACAACTGAAAATCCCGTTTTGCAGAAGGGTCACTGGACCAGAAACGTTCACTGCTTTCTGCCCACAGATTTCTCCAGCAGTTTCTGTTTTCGATCCTGATTTTGTTGTTAACGTTGGCCCCTTAAGTGGACATGTAACGCAGTGGAAGTGAAAACTCTAAAGGCATGTCAGGAGCAACTGGTCGCAACAATGGGAGACCTTCCCTCACTGAATCAAAAAAGGGTTTAGTCCCTTTGGAGATTGGAATCGATTTTGGGATTAAAGTGATGCAGCACCACCCCCTGTTGGTGATAGACAGTTCTACATCCATGGAGGAAAGTGGAAATCAC